GTCATTCACATTGAATATTTTCGATACCCTGTCCACTTTATCCACATCCTCTCGTTTATAATGACCATGAAAAAATTGCATGTCTGGATATTTGGAATTCGAGTCATTTACACGGGCAGCGCCTATGAAATCAAAGCCACCGTTGTTTCCTAAAATGCCTTGTTTATGTACGAGATACTGATAAGTCTCGTCCATGTTGGATGTAAGTGATGGTGGCGTCGCAATTTTGTTCTCGTAAGCCAAGTATAAGCCCTGCCAACCAATGTGGGTATGAAGATTTTTGCCGACTGGCAACTCAACAACGCTCTTTATTCCCACTTCGAGGAGATGTTGTTTAGGTCCGATACCGGAGAGCATTAATATTTGTGGACTGGCGATACTACCGATAGATAAAATCACCTCCTTTGACACTTTCACATCGACCGACCTATCGTCCTTTAACGTACTCCGACCACTGTCATTCCGTCTAGGACAACGGCGTTGGATATTCTTCATCACGTAGAGATTTCTTCTACCTTTGATCTGCGAGAGGAAGGCTTTCGCCATGTTCACCCTGCGACTCTCATTCACAGGTCCGGTGGCCATGCTGTACCCAATGTATTTGTCACCATTGATATTCTCTAGAGTGGGCAAACATTCAGTTTATAAGCAGCGTCTATAAACATTTTCTTTATATCTGTATCGCTGGAATTAAACTGTCTGATGGGCACCAATCCACCATGGCCGCAATACGATCTTCCCGTCTCATCGCTGTAATCATCATCGCAGGTCTGCGATGAGCGGGTTCACACGGGCTTAACACGTTGACTGCCGGGCCGAAAAAGTGCTACACACACTCAAGTAATATTTACTTAACACATTAACTGCCGGTCACGTGAGGATGTGTTGATAGTTAGAGCGCCGCCGAACGCGTGACTGACTACTTATACATCACTCCACACTCCGCGCTGGCGCGTGATTGTCTCTATAGCGTTGAGAGCATATCACACAATGGCGCGGGGTCGGCAGCGAAAGTGTTAAGAAATGCGTTCCATGCATTGGTAAAGTGATGGCGACAGTTTTTTGGGATACGAAAGGAATTCTCCTTCGAGAAGCGGAAAACCACTACTGGAGAATAATATGCATCACTCTTGATCGAATAAAGCGAAGATGAAGGAACGTTGTGGCAAGAGCGTTGGAATTCGAGGGAACTACGTCGAGAAATAAAATACGTTACACAATTCAAATTGTTTTCTTTAATATCAAGCCAAGTTACTTATCAAACCACTTTCGTGTAGTAAAATATATGTTATAGAATTATTTGATAAGATAATGTATATAATGTTTGTACCCTCAACCCTTATAAAGTAAAGTTTTCCAGTATAATAGTTCGTCATATATATCACGACGAGATGTAAAAAATGAAACATTAACTGTAAAGTTATATATATATATATAATAAACAAACCTATAACATGTAACGTAACTGTACTCTTTTCTATAATTCTTGATTGTCCTTTACAGCTGCCCAATCCTCTTTAATTAAATCTGCGCCTTTCTCCCCTATCATTATCGTAGGTGCATTCGTGGGTCCACTAGTGATTGTTGGCATNGATAATGTATATAATGTTTGTACCCTCAACCCTTATAAAGTAAAGTTTTCCAGTATAATAGTTCGTCATATATATCACGACGAGATGTAAAAAATGAAACATTAACTGTAAAGTTATATATATATATATAATAAACAAACCTATAACATGTAACGTAACTGTACTCTTTTCTATAATTCTTGATTGTCCTTTACAGCTGCCCAATCCTCTTTAATTAAATCTGCGCCTTTCTCCCCTATCATTATCGTAGGTGCATTCGTGGGTCCACTAGTGATTGTTGGCATGATAGATGCATCGATGATTCTCAGACCTTGCATTCCGTGTACTCTTAATCTAGCGTCCACTACAGCCGTAGGATCGTTTCGTGGACCCATTTTAACGCTACCAACGGGATGATAGAACACGGTAGACAAATGTCGCAAGTGACATCTCCAATACTCATTCGAATCAGGTTCAGTGTGTCGACAACCCGGAATGTCCAAATGATACAGCCTTACTCCTTGTCGTGTAAATGTGTCGGTCTTCAGCATTTTCTTTATGAAGTCTAAGGACTTCAACATCGTTTCAACATCTTCTTGCTGGGAGAAAGTGTTCGCATAGATCTTAACAGGAACCGCGGGATCCTTGCTACGTAGCCACAACTCACCCGAGCTCTTCGGTTTTATTAGACACGGCATGAATACTGCCATATCAAATTCCTGAAGCATTTTCAATACATTCTNATAGAACACGGTAGACAAATGTCGCAAGTGACATCTCCAATACTCATCCGAATCAGGTTCAGTGTGTCGACAACCCGGAATGTCCAAATGATACAGCCTTACTCCTTGTCGTGTAAATGTGTCGGTCTTCAGCATTTTCTTTATGAAGTCTAAGGACTTCAACATCGTTTCAACATCTTCTTGCTGGGAGAAAGTGTTCGCATAGATCTTAACAGGAACCGCGGGATCCTTGCTACGTAGCCACAACTCACCCGAGCTCTTCGGTTTTATTAGACACGGCATGAATACTGCCATATCAAATTCCTGAAGCATTTTCAATACATTCTGCTTTATCTCCTCATCTGCTGGAAATACCTTCCATATTGTGTTCACATTATCTACATCCCACCGTGGATAGTGAAAGTGAAAAAACTGTATGTCGGGATATTTGGAGTTCGCATTATTTACATTGACATTACCTACAAAATTTAAGCCACCGTTGGTTGCCAAAATACCTCGTTTATGTATCAGATATTGATAAG